GGCCGAGACGGAGACGGAGACCAGGGAGAGAGAAGAAACACATTGACTTGAGAGAAACAGACTTCGATGCTTGCAGCATGCGTTTTGGTTTAAATTTGGTGGTTGCACAGCCGTTGACATCATCATTGCCAACGCCATGCCGAAGTGAATTCTGTACGCCATGAATGCTGTGACCCTTCCTTTCAAGCCGAACCTACACCGCCGCCTCGGTGTTCGACTGAGGTTCGACTGGACTTGTCCATGTTTACCCATTTGAAAGAGGCCATGGGATGACGTGTGCATGTGGACTCTCCTCAGAGAGAATGTACCACGTTGCTGTGTTCCGGCTATCATGTCCAGACTGAATACAGGAATGCATAAAGGTCGGGATAGACAGTTGACAGTTGCTGTTCGGAGATCAGGCTGACGTGTTCTGCCAAAGGCTTTTCAACTTGTCTCTTAGCAAGTGCGCAGGCTTCATTATTCGCCACTGCAGCGGCTAAGTGTATGCTGGTTCGCAGACATGTTGTGCATGCGTGCTCTTGGCGCCGAATTGCCATCATTCATGTTTGTGAGTGTACGTGCGCATCCACAAAGGAAGCAGAGCAGAGCGGTAGATGTGTCCACTGGATCTTGGACATATGGCGCAGTGACAAGACACTACCAGCAGGCAGACATGCGTCAATCGATTTAGCCCTTAATGCACGTAGACTCTAAGTCCTGTCATCATGCTGCTGGACATGAACCGACATTCTCTCCGCCAGTTGCTGCTGTGGGCTGAGTCGGGAGAAGGCGAGCTGAGTCTGGAACCGTTCCTCGGTGGCCATAAGAGAGGATCAGGGCTGATCGGGCATCTTTCCCAGGTCCTCAAACTCGTTTCTTTTTTACATCCTTAGGCCAGAAACTCGTGGTCCTTTTTCCGCTTACTTGCAGTGTGCTAGTAGCAGACACAGGTCCAGTCTGTCGAACTCTCGTCTTCCAGCGGTTGGAGTAGACCAAGATTATGTTCAGATGTGCCGGTTGCACGGAGTTTAGGTTAAGTTTGCCATGTTGAACCCACTTCGGGATCAAGCTAGTCCTGGCACAGCCTGGTAAAGAGTCCTGAGTGCAAGGATTGACCACGAAAAGGTGCTCATGCATGGATGATTACAGATACGGTTCCCATGAATTCTCATGATTGTAATCCTTGTTGTTCGCTGATCTGCTTGAGGATTCGTGAAATTTCAGTCCATGGGCGAGTGCAAGTGGGTGATTTCATATCTAAGTTCTGGTAGACGTTCGCTTGTCGAGCATGCGATTTGTGCTGTGCATGCACAGTTGCCGCATGTTTATTTCAACAGTCAAGCCGCCCGACTGATCTCAGAAGCGGCTCTGCCACCTTGCTCCTGATACTTCCGCCGGCTTGTGTCTCGACTATAAGGGATCTATAAGGGTACTATGATACAGGGGCCTTAACAATTCGAATGGGGTTTGGGGGTAGTATACTATAAATGTAGTAACCGGTATAGGATTTTCAGGGTCTCAGGTATAGGTGAAGGGTTTGGGTATACGGTTCAGAGTTTGCATGCTTTGATGGTTGCGTGCTGTGATGGCCACGAGACAATCCGACATTGCTATGGTAATCTCGGCATCGTACCCGAACTCGTAAAAGCAGGCTATTACTGTCCTTGCCTGTGCTAGATTGGGGCACGAGCCTTGGTATTACTTGCACCAATTGTTGCGATGCTCTTCCTTTATTGTGCTTGCGATTGTTGTGGGGCGTACTGCATGTCGCTGGTTGCGGTCATCCTTGTGTCATTGCTTATTCCGATGACTGTTAATATGTGAGTCTTGCCAAGAAGGCTGCATGGGCCGGAGCAAGCACGGCGACTGCTAGGATATGTTTCGTCTTTGCTCTCATTTTCGATCTCCGCAACTCGAAAGCTTGCCCACAATGGTTTCCAATCTTAGCGTTCTGACTGTTGATTCTACATCTGTTTGCCCAGCATGTTGTTCGCGAGGCCGTACTATGCTGCAAGCTGCCTCCCAAATCAGAAATGCTGAAGCCATCGCCCGAATCCTTTAACCTTTGATCGAACCAGAAATTTCAGCGAACGGTCGGTCGTCGCAGGCCAGATGCAGGACCTTGCTGTACCTAGTGGAGAGTGCAGAAGTCCAGAAGTTCGATCTGCTTTTTCCCAGGGTATGCATGTGTGCGCTGATTAAGGCAATGCGTGGTTCAGGCTTCGTGAGTCACACGTGCTAGGGTACACAAGACTGGGGTGCGCTTGTAGGCCCGAGGCCGCAGGAAGCCCTTCGGTCCCAGTCACGATTACAGAGGCTCGTGTCACTCCGAAAGGAACCGTATGATATAACGAACATATGTCAACATATCGTATGTTGTCATTTTCTGAGTATGTTCCTGTTTGCTGTTTTCAAGCATGTTGGACGTCTTCTGTTAAAGTCAGCTCATGTCTATTCGAGTGCAGTCTGTTCTGTTCTATTCAATGCCAGCTTCAGAACGAAGTGCGATATTCTTCTGCTGCCCTATAAGAAGGTGTTGTAAAGTTATGTTGTTTTGCAGTGTACTACACGTGTTAGATATGATCCTCCTGTAAATCCTGTAAAACGTTTTTTGCAAAACTAGGTACTACCGCAGACTTTCAATTTGAACATGTATGTATTACAGCTTTGTTTTGTTATGCCAGAGAAAAAGAGAAAGACAGAAACCTCAATCAGCAAGTGTGTGCACAAAGCACACAAAGCCGGAAGCCCTCCCCATCCAGGGTTTTGGGGCCCATTATGTTATAATCATATTAAGGAACCCCCAAAATAGTATTAGATAATTATATTAAGGCCCCTATATTCGTAGGAAGGGGAGTTCCATCAGGTCAGGCGGATGACAACGAGCTCTCAACGAACAAAGCTAAACCCTAAACCACTACACCCGAAGCCCTGCCCTGCCAGGACGTGCTCTTGCATGTCGGGCCGAAGCTGCTCGATCTCAGAAGCACCGGTACACAAGTCCCTTGGCTGACTACAGGAGATCTTGTACCAGTTCAATTATTCAGAATCGATACTAGGGTCTATGAGTCTATATGGTTGTTTCCTGAACCTCTCATACAACATAATCCTTTCATAACGGCTCGGCTGGTAAGTAAGTAGAATTGTAGTTACTTTGCTCATAGCTCTAGTTACTCCGATGGTCGCACAAGCAGTTGGCATTGTGGCTTGCCTCACGAACAGACCAACACATCGACATCTCCAAGCCTATAGCGACCCTCCACGGAGTACTTTCAGATGGCACGTTCGTAAACTATGCTAGGTTGCAAAGTTTAAGGACGCCGTCTTTGTAAACTTTATTAGTGGCATCTCGGTTTTGAAAACTTGGCCCTTGTCCTATGCTGCTGGCTGAGAACGTGGAATGCTCGATCTTGAAAGGGCGCGAAGGTAAGGTAACAGTGAACCGCGATCCCAAACCTCAGGAATTGCACCGATAGGTTGTCATAGGTCCACTCCGAATAAAAGCTTGCTCTTAGTACCATGTCTCATCACACTCCAGCATTTGAAGCGTTCAGCAATGTCGCAGCACATACATGAATGGCATGAAGCCTCCGAATCCATATAGGTCGTAGGCGGAGTCTTTGCCAGGCTAATCAGAGCTCGTTGACCGGTTCCGAGAGTCACTGTTTGGCATTCCATGCAATCTAGAAATCTCGAGGAGTACATCATCGTGCGGGCAGCTGCGATAGCTACCCGGCCAACAGCATCCGCAATTGCGCAGGGGCTTTTGTGAATCGAGCGTTGCGTTTGGAATTTTGGCTCATGGTTTCGGGCTGCAGCCACGATCGCTGGCTTGATGTGCAGCATGTGCAGCCTCTAGTCGATGCATCATGGGCGGTTTGCATGTTCAGCTACAGTTGGAATGCAGGGTGTCAGGTGTCACGCACATGGGATAGAGGTTGTCCGGGGGGAGAGTCAGCGGATGCAGTTTAGTGGATGCGGCGCAACCGCAACCGGACCGGACAACACCAGCCAGCCTCACCATCCGGGTCAGACGTACCGCTTGCAGCTTTGGCTGGATCCTGGTGGGTGCAGAGCATGGCTTGGGCATCCGGTGCATCATGCGGTGTTGTGGTACCCCTGTGCTCCAGAAGCAAATGCTGCCAAGAGGCCTCGAGTTTCTTGTGCCCCGCCCATATCCCTAAACTGAAACGCCCCAAACCAAACCCTGCTTCCCCCGACCCAAACCCAAGAAGCCAAGGAGATACAGCCAGGGGCTTTTGAATCCCACAGGCTGCATCACAATCTCTCCAGGCTTGCACGGCGCTGTTTCTTTTGAGGGAGTTGGCATCATGTCGGTGTCTGAATTAGGCAGAATCATTTACCCTTATAGACGATTATGAAGGACTGCGTCTGATACTTGTGAAGAAGCTGATGTCTTTTGCCTGCAGCTCGAGGACCTCAACCCTCTTGAGTCAGCGCAGGTGGACTCCGCCTCATCCCGACGGCAAGCCTTATCCAGAGGCCCGAGTTCTGAGCCCAAATCAGAATCTTTGTGGTCAGCCATGAACGGCACGTGAGGGGACTGCACTGTTCCGGCCGGCACTGTCAGCATTAACGTGTTAACAAGCTTTTGACAAGATGCCACCGAAGCTTAGCATGGTCTGATGAAATCTGCCAGTTGTTTGAGTTTGGTTCTACCGCCGAATCAGCACCGTCAGCCAAATTAATCGTAAACACTTAGCACCAAGCCTTTATGGTGTCAAAGTCTTTGAGAGTGCTGGCAGTCTTGGTTCGCCCAACCCCACCCCAAGTCTTGTGACCACGAGCCTCTTGAAGCTCGAGGCTTTGAGAGTGCACGGTGTGAGGTTCGGGAGTTTCGGGAGTAGCAGCGGACTGAAGCTTGCTCGGGCATGTAATCTTGCAGCATCGGCTGTGCGAACACTTCTTGCATGTTGCGTGTAACTCTCTTGAACCCTAAACAGAAAAAGGCCCAAAGGTCATAAAACGTTAAGTCCCATAAGCCCTACGCTCCCGATATGAGCCAGGAGCCGGTTTCGGGCTTCGCTGCGGAGTGTGGGCGCGCGACGGTCGGGCCGACCGACGATAATGCAGGCCGTTTTTGGGAGCATCATATAGGGGGCCTTCTAACAATGAGGAACTCGAGCTTTAGAGGTTTCCGGGCTTTGAACACTAGGGTGAAAATGAAGGCACTGCACACCCGCAGCAAATCCCATGTACACCCAGCAAGCATCTTTCTGCGCATGCCGACATAGGCCTCTAGGCCCGTTGGGGGGGGCATTCAGCATGAAGAGGACCAGCAGTGCGAAAAGCTTGTACAGTGATCACCAGAACTCGGCAGAGCATGTTGGCGGACATCCAGCCCCAAAATATCGCAAGCATTGAAGCCTTCACATGTGGAGGTGCTCAGTTCCACAAAATGTTCGGCCGTGTGCTGTGCAGCCCGTCGATTTATTCGAATCCCGAGGAGCTTGAGATGTTGTGGTTTATGGACAAGCTGAGCATGTAGTGTGTTTCATTCGACAGGGTTGCTACCGCTTTTGCAGAAGATGGCTTTCACTCTGGTGACGTCAGTGCCACGTGTGCCAGCCTTGAGTTTGGCCACTCCGTCGCTGCAGTGTTTCATGATGCTTCTGCTCGAACGAGTAAAGAACTGTGGCACCACTAGTTTAGAATACCGCAATGAGTTTGAGTGCTGTGGCAAAGTGGTAATGATCTCAATCGCAAGTCTTGCCATAGGGAACCATGGTAGAAGCATCATCTGCTGTTTCCTAGCAATAATTAACATCAGTCTCAACAAAACGATATAGTACACTGGCAGCACTTGCAAGAGGTCCCTAAACTCTAAACCCTAAACCCTAAACTCTAAACCCTAAACCCTAAACCCCTAAACCCTAAACCCTAAACCCCTAAACCCTAAACCCCTAAACCCTAAACCCCTAAACCCTAAACCCTAAACCCTATACTGTCATCAGTTTTCTTCCAGAAGGACTTCAGAGGCGACGCCCAGGGCCTGAAGATCTTTGTTCACTCGCTTCCTGGCGTCGGATGGGTTTTAGGGTTTAGGGGTTTAGGGTATAGGGTATAGGGGTTTACGGTTTAGGGGTTTACGGTTTAGGGGTTTAGGGTTGGGTTTGGGGCTTACTTGCATTGTGCCTAATGGAAACAGTCGTGGATTTAGAGCTTCTGGTGGGTGCAGCGAGTGCAGTGTTCTTGTTTCCTGGATGTGGCACGACTATTGGTTCAGAGGTGTAGAGGTGTTGGGGTCGGGGGAAACGGGGACGGGCTCCTGTGGCCCTCGCGCCGGCACTGGGAACGATGTTGGTTAAGCGCAACTGAGTGCTGGATCGGATGAGTACAAGTGGTAGGAGTAGAAGTTCAAGTAAGTAGGAGTAGCAGCAGAAGAAGTTGTATTAATTATTTATCACCGCAAGTGTCGGTAGTCGTCAAGGTCGGAGACACTGGGTGAAGCCTTCGAAGCCTGTTCAGAGATTTGGGCATCATGCGGATGCGCTGGAGGTGCGGTACGCGAGCATGCTCCCAAACCTGCTCTGAGACCCAGGTCCTATCCCCTGCGCTCCAAAACCCGTAAAATGGAAAAGGATCCGACCTAGCTTGCACACCAGGTGTGTCCTTTCATTTCTAAGTACAGGTTCTCGTGAGGATGCCTAATTTGCAGTAGGGACCAAGGACTCTCACGTCGCCAGACTGTAAACCCCCAAGCCCAAAACCCCCAAAACCCTAAACCCTGTTTCTTTCTAGGATGCCGGCTGGCCTGACCTCAGACCGCCCCATGGGCAGCACATGGCGCAATGGTTTGTGTTTGCAAGGTTGATATAGGTTTAGGGTTCATTAAAGGGTGACGGGAGTGAGGATTACGGCTAACTTCGGGCCTCATACTCAATATGATGCCGCCAGCAGAAGTTCGTACTTGTGGTATTGGTTTTAGTGCCTCTCGAACTTTCTTTGTTAGAATGCCTGTCTTCCTTCAGCCAGTCGAGCAACTCTTTCTGTCCCTCCGCTCCCTCTGATCACAAAATTTTCAGGCTGAAGGCTGTAGCTTCTTGGCTGTGAAAATATAGAGAATCCTCTCTTGCTTTTGGCTGTCTCAAATCAGTTGCTGTTGAGGCGGCACTGTAGCCAATCTGAACCAAAACAGTGCATTAATATTGAGAACAAGAACCTTCCGAAGAACGCACCAATAGCCATACGGAACAACCTCTACGAGGGCACATATAGGCGTAGGTGAAGGATGCGTGCAATCCCAATGTTCACTGAAGCTGGGGAAGGCTTGTCTCAGTATATGAAATCCTTCGAAATGCTGCGATACTAGCGGTTGTGTTAGCACTCATCATACCACAATATACTACCATAATCTACTGTCGAATAAGATTCTGAACTTTAAGCTTAATCGAATGCAGAATAGAGCTCGAGGATTCTCGTGGATAGGTTTACGCGAAACAGAGCCCTGCTTTGGACGACCCCAAACACAGACAGGCGCGCCATGTGGGCCGTACAGCTTTCCTTTAGAGCCTATGTCTCTGCACTCCCGCAACCCCAAACCCTACAACCCTAAACCCAAATCCCTGTAAACCCCAAGCCCTAAGACCGAAAAACCCTGAAACCCTGTAAGCGAGGACTGGTCATCGCGAACTTGGTCCGCTTGGCGCACAACTACTCTTGTGACCCAGGGCCGGCTGTGGGTCCGGGATGTGGGTTTTCATCATCTCTGATAATAACATAGAATAAAAGTAATAATCAAAATAATATTGATAATATTATCATAGGTGGGCCGCAGGGGGGCCTGTCGGCTTTCATAGGGTTTCGAAAGGGTTTTGTCGTCTTGTAATGCCGTTCATAACGTGTTACGGGGTTCTATTGGGGTTAGACAGGGCTCTAGACTCTAGATAGTCAGTTGTAGTTTCCCGTCCGAGCTGTATACTATATACTGATACAAGTCCACAACACGCTATGCTACTTCTTGGGGCCGGTCTGCCCATTGAAGTCCGTACTTGGACAGGTTAGGAAGTTTTGAATAAGCGTATAGAGAGCAGAAAGTCTAGGCCACATCCGAATCCGGGTTTAGGGTTGCAGGAATGCAGCGATCGGAACATTGGAACATGACACTGCTGATTGACTTGTCAGACGTTATCACGTGCAACTCCTTACCATGGCATTCGTGTAAGCTCTTCTTACGAACCTCTCGCATTCCTGCACGATCTCATAATCTTCTTGCTGGAGTCCTGCCAGATGCTACTGTACTCAGTGCAACGTGAATCCTTGCCATCAGGGTCCCCCATTTTTCTCAGGTTACCTTCGTTCATGCCGAATGCAAGAATCCCGAAGTGGTTCTCCTACTTGATTATCGGGCTATTGGTCATGAAGTTTAGAGTGGGGCCTTGATTCCTGCAAGATTGAGATAAATTTTATTTGCGAAAACTTTAAAAGATACTATACCCTCAGCTTCAGACCCTATGCCCGCAACCCTAAACCCCTCAACCCTCCACCGGGCACCCGAAAAGAAGCTCCAGCCATTGCCAGGCTTTTCCTCTGCAAGGAGCCTCATTGGTCCGGTGCATGGTCTGCCTGGCGCCAGCATATGGGAGACTGGGCCCACACACAGAAGTGGGGGTAGTGGGAGTGGTAGGAGTAGGAGGAAGAGTGGGGGTAGTGGTGGGAGGATTGGGATTAGTAGGAGGAAGAGGAGTGGTAGGAGGCTTTGTAGCATGTCGCTTGTGGCAAGAAGCAGATGCTGGTTGATGATGACGACCATAGCTGCCGTAGCACCGGTTGGGCAGTGGGGAAGCACAGGTACTCGTAAATATCATGAAGTGTTGGTAGGAGTGGAAAGAGGAGAAAGAGCCGTTGTCATGCGTATGAGGTGCCAGTGGCAGCTACTGTATGAGCCGAAATACATACCTGTAGCAACAGCAACGAGTAGTGGATGCTGATACATACAGTAGCCCTCATCCTAGGGCATCGAATCGTGCAGCAGCTGCCGGGTGGCGTGCATGCCTGCCTTTCTGGTTGCGATTCTGATCCACCAGCTCATCGGCATTTTGTTTTATATTATCGACTTCATCGCAAGTTAGTGTGTCAGCCCTTGTGAGTACCGAGGCGAATTGGTCCTCTTACAGAAGTTTTTGACCGCTCCACCAGAGGTGTTCGTGGAGTCTGCCGATGAAGCAGTTCCTTGGCCACGGAAGGCCTATACCTCAACCCCCGCGTGCACCTTAACACAGACAGAGTACATCAGAGAGCGTCTCTCTGGGGCCTGTAGTGTGACGCTTTCTGTATCTATGTGTATATGTATGTCCCTGTAAAAAAGCATGTATACATGTGTATGTATATATCTATATATATATATATACATACACATGTGTGTATGTCCAAAAATTACATGCAGACACAGGTGTGTATATGATGTATCCAGATGTACGCATGTTCATGTACAGACTTACCTGTTTATATGTGTATATGAGTTTTACGTATGCATTGTTCAAGCGCATGTGGTTATTCATCTGTTGCTTTCTAATTGGTTACCACCACACCCATCATCGTCAGCCTCATCATCTTCCCCATCGCTCACTCGTTCACAGAGTGGCCATCACTATCTTTATCAGTGTAAAGATCTCCGTGAACAAAAACATCACAATCGTTGTAGTGTGTCTCCTCACCACCACTGCCTGTGACCACTACCATTGTAGTATGACTGCTGCTTTGCTATTACTGTAGCGGAAGTTTTTAAATGATGACTGTCATCATTACGATGATGATGAGGATGATGATGAAGAAGATCATGGCCATGATGATGATGGTGGTTATGATGAGTTTTCTTCGTACTGCGACTTCTGCTATTGTCATTGTAACAGGGCTTGCCCTTATCAACGCTTTATGGTTAAAATTGATACAAGGTATCTATGTTGAATAGATCGTTTCCTTTACAAAGTAATTTCAACGTGGACCCATCTTGGCCTCGAGCCATGAGGCAGCCCTGTAAGCCCCAACCCTGGGTGCAAATCTCAACCCACTTGCTGCACGATCTCGAAAGTGATCATCCTGCAACAACTGCAAACAAGTCCCATAGGTTCAAACTGACGCTTGAGCACTCCGACTCGAGACTGAATGTATTTCTGCATGCATCTGCATGTACATATATATATATATGTGTGTGTGTATGAGCCGTAGCCCTAAACTCCTGAACCCTGTTTTGTTGCAGCCCGAGAATGGGAGCATCGCTGCCGAGAGTTCGTTCTCCAGACCCCCCCCCCTTACGGGCTGATTTAGGATGCAGTCCTGATAGGAGGTATTTCTGCTTTTGTTATAGTCACAATCATAATAAAAGGAAATCAGCTAGGGCGGGTATGTTTTCGGGCCCAAGCACCTCACCAGAGCAGAAGGAAGCCTAGAAAGCCGAGGATATCATCTTGATCCCGACTTTGCCGGACTTCTCGGTGGGTTTGTTCACCGTGTTGCTTGAGGTTTGGGGGTCTTGCGTTCGCTGTCAGTTTTCGAGGTTTTGGAGTTTGAGGCTCAGGTTGCTTGACGAGGGACTGTTCGGTTCAATGCTTCAGATCTTCGACTTTGAAATCGCCAGGGGTTGTTTGACTTAGGATCCTGAGCGAAACTTGGAAGGCTGCATATTCGGGAAATCTGGTGTCCGGTCCTTCTCTTCTTCTGGTATCTGCTCAAGCTGTTTCATGACATAATATACTTGGGGTTCATGGGACTTAGTAAGTACAGTTATAAGTACCTTCACTGGGGTTATATCCAAGTATACGCATAGTTACCCTATTTATAACTGGGGTTGTATCCAATTATACGCATAGTCACTGCAGGGCTGGGATAAGTCCAGGAGCAAGGATGTTTTCAATCTAGGGTCTAACACTGAACGCAGAGGGCCCAGATACAAAGGTTGAAGGACCTCAAAGACCCGAACCCTACCTAAATGGTATCACCCCTAAGCCCCCTAAGCCCTGAAACGCCCGATAGGCCCGATCGACCCTAAACCATACAAGCCCGAAGCCCCAATCCCTGCAAACCCCAAACCCAAAATTCTAAAAAATCCTTAGCAGTGACCCACATAAGCCCTGAACCCTGTGAACCTTAAAGCGTACCTTAACCCCGAAGAACCTACCTTCTTCAGGACGTCTATAAAGAAATCATAATACGGAACCCTAAAAAGGTAGGTTATTCAGGTTTAAGGTACAGGCCGTAACCCTAAAACCTGTAAGCCCGGAGCCAGAAAGCTGACGTAAGCTCGGGATTCAGAAGTCGAGGTCGCAGCTCCTGTCGACCTGGTACATCTTCCGCCAGGTGCCGAGGTTTAGGGCGTGAGGATCTGTAGGGTTTCGGGTGTGTAGGGTTCGTACGGTTTAGGGTTGTGTAGGATGTAGGGTTCCCTACGGCTCCAGCTACCTAAATAGTAGGTTACTGGGGTACCTAATAGATGGGTGGTTGTCAAAATTAAGGTACCTTGTTGGATACGCTAGATACTAGGTGCCGTATTATAATCGGGACCCAAAAAGGACCCTAATTTTGACAACCACCCCTATGGTTGGTAACCTACGATTTCGGCAACTGGAGCCCTACCTTAACCCTGAATAACCTACCTTGTTAGGGTTCCTTATTATGATTTCTTTGTATAAGTCCTTAAAAAATGTACCTATAGTCTCCATTGTAGTTTCTTTTTCGGGTTACCTTTTAGGATCCTTGGTATAAAATTGGTTAAACCAAAACAAGGAACTACAATGGAGACTATAGGTAGGTTCTTCGGGGTTAAGGTAGGGGTTGATGACGGCTCCAGCCCAGAATTCAATCGAAGGAGCTCCCAGGCGGCCAAGCACCAAAGCCTAAAGTCCAAGAGGAGGGTTTAGGGTTTAGGGTTTAGGGGTTTAGGGGTTAGGGGTTTAGGTTTTAGGGGTTTAGGGTTCAGGGTTTAAGTTTCAGAAATCTCCGGACCCGAACTCATGTGGGTATTTCTCTAGATTAGGGCACCCTATAGGACCCTTTTTATAGGGTTGCGTACTATTTTGGGCACCTGAAAATTTGGAGAGCTACCCATATAGAACCCTATGCTTGTGTATATAATATAGGTAGTAGGACCCATAGACATTGCAAGTCAGCGGCCAAGAACCCAAAAGTCTTAATAGCCTTGTCCTCACCCGGGCACTCCAGCATGCCGCGTGCAGCCAATGCCCAGGAAGATCTTCCAGTATACCCTGATCAAGGAAGACTTATAAATCAGAGTAGGGATTCTGCCATAATTAAGAGGCTAAATGGAAATTTGAAGATCTGATTAATCATTTGATGCGCAGCAATGCGAGAAAAGTGTCGGGGTTCTTGTGAGGCCCTAAGAGGTGCTGATGAAGGCAGGACTAGCTAGATGTCCGTCTGCCCGGTACCTGTCTGTCCCTCTATCCATCTATCACCTCTCTGTCTACTTGGTTTTTGTTTTGTAGGGATGTCTTGACGCAACTCTTTTTATGTCATGTCTTGGCGACAGAAGGTCGTCTTTGTGACAACTGCAAGCTCTTTGCTAGATGCTAAGTTAGAGAGACTCTGCAAAGTTCGGATTCCAGAAGGGGGCATGGCCCTGTGAGAGGGATGCTTTCCGGTGTATTGTGTTGCCCTTTAGTATACATTCCTTAAGCAGGAGTTTGCAGAGTTTGAGTACCGGCCTCGTCGCGCTGGCACTAAAGTTGTCCTTAATCACCAATCTGCATTAACTAGAAGCTTTGTCTCTTGGAGTGACCCGCCAGGTGCCACAGACCTGTGCTCGCTTCACCCTTCAGCTTCTCAGCGATTGCAAAGTGCACCCTGGGTTCAGGATGTAGGTGCTTCAGTCTTCCTGGTGCGAAACTTGTTGTGTGTTGGAATTGCTGTTTGTGTGTAGACAGCCAAATGCGTGCGTAATGTTTTGGGTAGGTTGGCCACAGCCAAGTGCCATTGGCCAATGCTGCGGTGCTACAGTCTTGGATATACCGGGTTCTAAGTGCAGGTACATTGCTTTCGAGCCTTGTAAACATGGAACACGAACCTCTCGGCCCTGAGCCGGCAGTGGTCCAACTGTCCCTAAACCCTAAAAAAACCTGGGCTTGGAGCCCGGCCCAGCTGTTACGGTCTTTCTCAGATTCGGCTGTGCCGACAGGTTGTCGTTGATTCAGTTTTGGCTCGTGAGGCTTCTACGTAATTGGACTCCAATGTGTTCCGCTTGCTGCTGTTCATGAATGAAGGCTGAGGTGGTTTGGGATTTACGTTTTTGGATGTTGCAGGTTGCAGATATGGCCTTCTGTTTCGATGTCATTTCGTGTTTTGGGGTTTCGAGATGGTGTCGTAGTGGCAAGGTTGGTGTGGCTCCCGCACCATGTGAGTTTGAGGAGCTCGTGGGTGCAAGTTTGGAGCACGAAGCGCTGGAAGTATTGGAATTGCGGACTTTGATTGGTTTGTGCCCGAAGCACTCAGGTTTCTGAAGACACTGCTCCCGCGCCAGCGTGGCGTGTTGGTATTCCTGTTTGCAGACCACTTGCAACTCGACTGAGGGATATTCGACGCAGGGGTTGCGACTGTTGGGCCCTCGAGCATTGCCTGGGCTTTTCGAGTTATGGCAAGAGCAAGGAGTGACAGAGCGAGTCA